ATAAGCTGAGCATCATTTGTCTATGCGTGTGTGTATATGTGTGTGTGAGTGAGGGTAGAGATATTTTATTATTACATGTTTCAAACTAAAAATTCACACTACCTATAAGTAGTATGTATATCCTGAAATTAATCACTAACTTCATAATGTTTTTATTTATTATTTACATATTTATTTATGTATAACGACGTTTGTGATAATAACAGGTGACAGTTTATTATTCACACAATCGAAAATCTGAAATTTCATAAATCTTATACTCACTCAGTTTCATGTTAGGGAGATGATTTTAATTTTTGTTTCGGTTGCATCGATTGTAGAAGTGACAATTTATAAACGGTGGGACAGTAGAAATATTGATGTTCAACAATTTTGAACGGCCTCAAACTAAATTTATTGACAATAAAGTCATATCGTTCGTTTAGTTTACATACATTAAATAATACCGTTGGTTGCATTATTCTCATTTCAAAGAATTTGTATGAAGGATTATTTATGTACTTATGCCATTTACTCCTTATTGATCATAGGCCGCCAACCAGCAGTCTACAACTAACTTTGTCCTGTGCCTTCCTTTCCAATTCCACACAACTACTATTCATTAATTTCATATCTCTCTCCGATTCTCGGAGCAGTGTTTTCCTTGGTCTATCTCTTTTCCTTTGGTCATAGGGTTTGCCTCATAATGCAGTTGGATGCTTTCCTCAATGTGTGCCACATCCACCTCCAAAACATTCTCTAACTTCTTCCTCACTCGGAGGAGTATGGTTTGTTATCTCACACAGTAGGTGATTACTGATGGTGTCTGGTCAACGGATTCACAGGATCTTGTGTAGACAACTGTTAATGAACATCTGTATCTTGTTGATGATGGCTTTCGTAGTTTTCTAAGTTTCCACACCATACAATAGAACAACTATCGTGATATTGGTAAAATTGAAAATTGTGACTTCAGTTTTATTCATCATAAGAATTCCTCATGGAGTAGCCTCCATAGTGTCATCCTTTCCACGTTGCCAAATGGTTTTCTACAGTCAAGGTAGCTGATTAACAGTGATGAGTTCTATTCAGCTGATTGTTTCACAGTGATCCGTGGTATGGCGATTTGGTCGGTACACAACCGGTCCTTTTGGAATCCAGCCTGCCTGTCTCGAAGTCGATGTCGTCAGTTGTTGGTGAGTCAACATCAGATGTGAATTTCATGGGTGACGCTTCTATGCTGGGTTTTTTGAGTGGAATTTATCGATGCAAGAGTTTTTCAAAGTTCCCTATCCACATGTTTCGCTTTTCTCGAATGTTTTGTGATTGCTTCGCTTTCCTTCCTTTCACTGGTCGTTCTGGTTTACATACCTTCTTGATAGTTTCGTTAATGAATCATATACCTGCCTCATATTTCCTTCTCTTAAATCTTTCGCTGTTGTTGTTGTTAGGTCTTCTACATATTTCTCTTGATCAGGTCTTATGCAACTTTTCACTTGCTTGTTCGCTTATTTGTATTCGGCCAATGCATTCTTTTGCTCTTGTTCGATTCATACTGATAGCCACCTTATTGTCCTTTCTTTCCTGAATACTATCCAGAATATCAACTGCGATTCAATCCTTGTGATGGTGCTTCTTGTGGCCTAGAACCTCACGACATGCCGAAGTTATTGCTTCTTTCATCCCCTTCCAGTTGATCTCCATTACAGTTTCCTTTCCGTTGAATAGATAGTGCAAGGCTTGGAACTCATGGTAAAAAGTTATCCTGATTTTGTTGAGTTTGCCAGTGAGCGGAAGATAGAAGACAGTGAAAATCGCTATGAGGTATCATAACTCTTCTAAATGAAGAGCTTCTAAATGCCATGGCAGAGTTTAAATGGTTTGAATTAATTTTTCGGGTTAGCCTTTTTAAGCGAGCTGGTTTTCTAGAGGATGGGGTCACTAACCCCATGCTAAACCCTCCTCCTTTATCCAGGCTTCTAACCGGCAGTTACCACAGAGGGGTTCCAGGTGGAGTTGTGTATGAAGGATTAGCAAGGTCAGAATAATCCATCCAACCTGAAGAGTAGTTGAAAAGCTTTATGCAATAAATATAGCTTCCCACAAACAAACAAGCAGTTGAAAATGTCGAATTCACAATCAGCCTCCTACTACTTACAAGTGCACCTTAGTCAATGCGCGTTTTACAAACCGCTCCCTTGCTACCTCGTAGAATTTACCCAAAGGATATATGCGAAATTAATAGTAACTTTAAAGACAGAAATAGAGACTGTTGACATTAGGCCATTCGTTGTCTAACTGAAAGGTGTTTTTGACTAGTTACATCCTTCCCCTACATCCTTAGTACTTGGAGCCCAGCCAAAAACATTTTCAACGCATCATTTCTTCTGAATCTTATGTTTAAATTTCGCAGAACACTTAATTTTTGAAATTTATTAAAGCTTTTACTGAACATAATTAGTGTCAACTTAGTGGAGAATGTTAAGAAATGCCATGAATGTCTAACGTAACTTTATAATAGAGTTAATTGAAACTCGCAATATATGCGTGATCAGTGGTGAGAAATAAAGATGTGCAATTTCAGCACGTTAAGAGTAAAGGGTCTAAAGTATCAGCACTTACGAGTAACAAATAGGACGAATATGGTTCACGGATCCCTGATAATTAATACATTAGTAGCATGTGCACAACCTAGAGATGGTATATTTATGAAATCTCAATGAAATCATGAATCACCACCATTAGAAACTTGGAAGCACTGGGCGGCCGTTTCATAGTAGTGTGGAACTTACTAGAGCACTAGCGATCGCACGCAGGGGAGTCGAATCCACGACCTTCAATCTTGCGCACGAACGCCCAACTTGCTGACCACCGGTTTGCGATTCAGTGGTGATGTCTAACTCCAATTAGTCCACGATATTGCGCAACTATCATCCAGTCTTCGGTTCTTAACTGCTTCACCCTCAACGTTGATGGACTCCAACGATCACTTCTCACTAGAACTCAGGGAATTTCTTCACGAGGCTAGTCATTAGTGAAGCTCAACAATCTCCACAACTCAACACTGATAGAAAATTATGTCTAATGTTTTTAGATCCAATACAAGCTACATTTTCAGCGAAGAGAAATGAATCGACGAAATACATTAACACAAGCTCCGATTGCATAAAGTAAACATGTCAGGATACTTTCAATGAAATCCATACTAAAGTCTTATCATTTCAATGTCAGGTCGTTTCGGTCACGGTGAGTCGGCGGTATATTTTGCTAGTATTAAAGTCAATTTGATGGTTGTTAAAAAATTGCATGTACTACTATCGCTGATTTCATTTGTAAACTTTCCAGATCCTAAGAAATATTTGGAAGTCTATTTGTGTAATATAAATTTTCTTTGGCACTAATCGAGACTTCGAGAGAAGACTCTCCAGTATCGAATGCATCATAGTCTACACATCGAAATCAACCTAATTTACTGACCAATCAGAGACCATGGACAGACATAAAACTACGATTCCGATGAAAGGAAGATACAATCAAAATAAAGATGCACCTAATGCCAGGCTAATGGTTAACACTAATCAATCAAGATCGAGGTCGACAGGAAAAACTGCTAGTCATGATGAATAATTTGAATACTTCACTTCTACCTGATGTTTGTGCTTGTTGTTTAGAAAAATGCAGAATCTATGGTTAAACCATCCAGCTAAGATGAAACTCGACTAAGACCCAATATATTATTTCGAGATAAAAGTCCAATTCTAACCTTCTAGTGACATTATAGTAACAAGCCAAGTCCCGAAGAACGACTATTGAGCTATTAATTTGGAGATAGTGGATAATGTTTGTAGCTCAAGATAAGGGTATTTTATTCTCTCCAGTTCAGAGATGAAAGCATCCTCGAGACGACTAGAAATCTAATATAGCCATGATCATTCGTCTAAACAGAACAAGATATAAGTGAATCAAGCGGAAACCCTAAGGCCACTAGATTTCTTAACATTAGCCTACGTATTCATGAAAAAAAGAAACCACTAAATACATGAGAGTAAAAATTCCCAATCCGAAAAGAAAAAAACGACACTGTTAGAAAGAACACTTAATATTTTAAATGAATTTGTGAAATAATGAAATTGCAAAGTGTACATATAATGTCAAATAAAAAACTAGACTTATTTTGCCAGTGGTCGCATTGAAACCGACCATCACAAAATGAGATAAGAATACACATTACAGCATGAAGAAATAGGATCAAGTAATAATGAAATAAGAAATAATAACGGCTCAGCGCATTTAGTGTATTTAAGGAGATAGATTTGAAATTAAGTTACATAACAAGTATTTTGAAAATTTACTTGAGGAAAAACATGGTTAAATTGAACATAACGAATTCTACACACAATAGATGTGCGTAAACATCAAAATATTTCTTAGAAATGAACATTTTTGAGGCTTATAATCAATGAGACAATGATAAGAATAGTTGTATGAAAGCACTTATGCATACATAATCACAAATCCATTAACAGTTGAAACGAAAGAGATGTATCTAAACAGCAACCCATTTTAGATTGAGAACCCAATAAGAGATATCACCTTATAGATTTGAAATAGAGATTTTAAAACACTGCAATTGTGCATAATTATTTATATAAGAGTAGGCTACAGTTAAATCAAAAAAGTGATTTACTCTAAGATAAAATAAAACGCTTCATAAATGATTATAACAACAACGAAATACATACAATCATATGAAAAACAACGAAGAAAATTTACAATTGGTTCTGTACAGATAGAGGATAAGAGAAAAATAATAAGTCATTCGCTCCTTCTAGTACGGAACGAAATTTTATGAAGTATTATGAAAAAAAATATTATTTGTTATACTTATATAGGTAACTGCTGCTACATAAACTTACAGAAAAGACAAGAAATTATGAATACGTTACTAATATTTGCAATAAGTAATGATAATGGACCTATATATATATATATATATATATATATATATATATATATATATATACATCTTTATGCATTAACATAAATTAATGAATGAACTGTGTATGCACGTTACCATTTATATGAATGCGTAAACATTTCAACCTCCTATTCACAATAATAATGTTTAGCAATATAAGCTATTTGGGGATATACTTTAAAAAAAGAAAAAGAATTATATAGACAAAATGACTGCCATCTGAAAAATATTATACTAATTCAAAAAAATTACGCAAACGGAACATTTTCAGGAACAGAAAGAAGAAAACGAGTGCTTAGATCTATGTGAGTTATTGTAACTAATACATTACTACAACTATTAGATTGTTAATTAAGCATCTTTGATTTGTTTATTGCAAAACAACATTCAGTGAGACGTATTTACATAGACAATAAATTAATTTTCATCGCAGTAGTATGAAACGGTAAATATAAGACAAGAAACAAAGATCAAATAGTATGAATCACAGACAGAAATTAAAAGATATAAAAAAATAAACAAATACAAGGGATTAATTTACATGTGTATTTCTATTCATACACATACACAATTGTAAATAACTCCGCCTGGGAAATTCATCAATCTGCAAATAATCAGTTTGAGAAAAGGAAATTAAATCTATCTAGAAGTATCAGTGATGAAATAAGTTTATTGACTTCCGGGTTTAGCGCAGTTCTAGGTCTTTCAAGAAAGAATAATTGTAAGAAAGTTCATGACTAATAGTTTCATTATCACTAATTCTACAAACAATAATGGTAAAATCCCAAGAACGCGTTATTATCACAATACCATCATGAGATAAGGAAAGACTATATATATGTATGCTAGCTATGAATTTGTTGTGACTCTGTCCGACGACGACAATCACGATTATGCTGAGCTGTCCAGTGTTCAAATTGACATGTTTCTGAACAGTATGCCGTTCCAGGACAACAATGGTAGAACGCTTCATTTAGACATACTTGGCACCACGTTCTTTGTTTAACTCTTTTTATTTCTGCTTCATGTGCACGACGGAGTTCAGATATTAAGATGTCGCGTCGATGAACTTCCTCCCGAGCTTGGTCTCTCTCAGTTGTCAAGGCAATAAGTCGATCAGCATATATTCGGTGAATACGTTCCTAAAAACAATGAAATATGCGTGTCTGTGGATTCAAAGTGTTAACTACATAAAACATATATATATATATACATAATTTTAAAAATCTCCACGTCACTAGTAAAGAAATATTAGTAAATGATATAACGGAGAGCACTTGGAGTGATGCAGAAATGATTTTCTTACTGTGGATTCAAATTTAGCGGAAACTAGTCTAAGATAGAATATGAATGAAGTCGGAAAGTAAAACAATTACAACTCGATAATAAATATCCATTATTACTAATGTCCTGATTAATGTTGTTAAAGTGCAGTGTACAACCCCTAGGTTGTTTGTCAGATTTTACAACTGAAACGACTGGAAAAGAGCACGTACAGGTTTTAGACAATTCACAAGTAGTGATAATGGAACAGAAACAGTAATTAATGTTTGCGTTCAACTAGATACACTACCAAATTAACGAGTAAATTAGCTTGCTAACAATCGTCAAAAAGACATGTCTACATCCACACAAGCAAAATTGCATGTAATGAGATTTTGTGAAATAAGCTATATCGGTTGGGATAGTAAAAACTAAGTAACTGATTAAAAAGACTTTAAAATACAATAAAGCGATTAGATATACAGTATACTAAACTAGGGAGATACACTCAAATCTTTTTATTAGCATGTCTTACCTTTTCTCAATCGAACTTGATGAACCTGAAAAAGATTTACACTAAGTTCTTTAACTTTAGGTCATTTGATTCCTTTATTTCCCAAGAGCTCAAGATATTCTGAATACCGGAATATTGGGATATCAACTGCGTATATATGAAACAAATGTTACAATATTTTAATAAGCACTGCACTAAAATGATGTATGGGTCCCACCTTTTCAGTGTTGTGACCATTTGAGAGTAAAGTACATAAGATAGGACAACAACTATGGAGATCAATAATCTAAGAATGATTCATTATATGAGTGTATTAGGTAGCAAAATACAAAACGCCTTCCCATTTCTCTGTTCAAACTTATCGAAGGGAACCACTGTTTTGAAGCAAAATACTTGTTGTTGCATAAGAGAATTACAAGACAAGCCATATAAAATGATGGTTTTAATAATGAGATTGAATAGTTATGAAAATAAAAGATTATATTGCAACGTATTTTAGGATGAAAACTCACCTCAGCTTTCATCATATTACTATCAGACTGCAAATGAGCAACTGGTCCATTTCCACTGCCTGATGAACAAGAAAAAGGTGCATTACCCAACATAGTCGCTACTTCACCAGGTGACGCATCTACTGATTTCGGATCACTTAAACTCGAACCTAAACCAGAGGTGGATGAAAGAGCAGCTGGTGAGACTGAAGAGTAACATGACGAAGATGCCGAAGAGTTCGAAGGAGGAGTTGGACCAGTAGCGAGATGTGTCCCAGTAGGATGAGTAAGCTGGGGTGCTCCAGATGTCTGGTCGTTGAATGTAGACAATATTTTCGTCCCACTAGACCAGCCAGAAGGATGAACAGTTTTAGAATTGAGTTTAGTATTTGGGCTGTCAAAAGCGAAATTTTTGACGGATGAGTTGGGTGCCGAAGAACTCTGAGATTTATTGTCAATAGAATTATTACCATCACTAGGAATGCGCAGAATCCCATTGAGCTGGAAGATTAAAAAAATGGAACAGTTTAGCTGCGAAAACATTGACTGACGTACTAGAACACAGTTTTTACTTCAACTAATAACTTCTTACTTACTGACTATAATCCCAAAAACTGACATTTCCCTAACTCCTGAAGAAGCATACAGGCAACGTACATGTAGATTTAGTATAACTGAATAAGAATGGTAAGGTTTAGATTTGCTAGATTTGAAGGTGAGGTAATAGAACTAATAGATGAAAATTTTTGTGAAATTCTTTGGAAAATTCACTACAATACACCAACCTTTTGAGAACTAACTGCAATGAGTCAGCTTTTAGTGGTTCGGCATCAGACTCCATTTCGGACGAACGATTATTCATGCTAATCAACATAAATCTTCCGTTTCATTTCTGCATATCATTCTTAGGCGACCTCCGTTTATGCGACAGTGGTAATTAAAGGACTAGTAGTTTACGGAGAGGTTAGGATTAGAAGATATTATTCAGGAAGTATGATTCAGTGAGAAAAGTTTAAAGTCAAAACTAGAGGGATTGATGAATCCAGAAGATTAGAATCTGAGAGAACACAAAAAATCAATGCACCGGCGTCCTTGCAAACGATTTTGAGCCATGTCATTCAGGGTCTATTACCATCGATCATTATCATCTCGTGGACCCCAACCAAGTAGTCGACAACTACCAACATGGCTAAGTCCACTCGTCAATGACTTCATGGATTTCTGCCATGTTTTGGTTTGGCCGCCCCTAGCCTTCTTCCAACCTATTCCTACACTACAAAACAAAGCTCGATCAGGCAGTTGGTGGTTGGGCATACGCAACACATGTCCCAACCACCTCAACTGATGAAGTTTCACCACTTCATCTATTGATCTGCCATTCTTACCTAGTACCCGTTTCCTAATAACAGCGTTGCTAACTCGGGTGTCCCACGATATACGAGCAATGCTTCGAAGACACCTATGATCGAAAACCAGTAACCTACGAATATCTTCTACTCTCACTGGCCATGTTTCACAACCGTAAAGTAAGACGGAGTGAACTACTGCGCAGTACACTTGTCCTTTAGTCAGCAAACGGATATCTCGCCTACGCCATAAGTGACGCAGGTTGGCAAAAGCCAATCGAGCCTTCTGTATCCGAGCTGAAATTTCGTCAGCCACCAGGCCATCGGCACTGATGAGACTCCCAAGATAAGTAAAGCGGTCTACACGTTCGACTACTTCACTCCCTATCACCAGTTCAGGTGCCGATGAAACCCAATCTTGAAGCAACATTTTGCATTTCGAGGGTGAGAACCGCATCCCGAACATGCTTGCATTGTTGCTCAGGGTAGTCAGAAGACTCTCCATTTTTTCAGCGTCTTCACCAAGTAGGACAATGTCATCGGCATATTCTAAGTCAATAAGCGAGCCAGCAGGTAAAAGGTCTACTCCTGAAAATTCAGACGAGGATAAGGTTATTTCTAGGAGCATGTCTATGATAAAATTAAACAAAAATGGAGAAAGTGGAGATCCATGACGGACACCACCTGAGGTGAAGAATTCCGGTGACAGTTCGCCATAAGCTCTCACTCGATCAGTGGTGTTCGAGTAGAGAGCTTGTATGAGGTTAATGTACTTCTTTGGTACACCTTTCAATGACAGACACTGCCAAAGAACCTCACAATCCAGTGAGTCAAATGCCGCTTTTAGGTCCAGGAAAACAACTATTGTAGGACGTCTAAATGTGTGTCTGTGTTCCAGGACCTGTCGTAGTGTGAAGACGTGGTCTATACAACCACGTCCAGGTCGAAAACCAGATTGGTTTTCTCGAGTTTGCTCTTCACGAGCTTTCGTTAAGCGTCGAAGTATTATCGAGGGCAATATTTTGGATACTATATTAGTTAGACTTATTCCACTGTGATTGTCACAAGAAGACTTCTGTCCTTTCTTATAGATTGGGACAATCAGTGATTGAGACCAGTCGGATGGGATTACGTCCAGTTCCTAGATTCTAACTAAGATCTCGGTCAACCTAGTCGCTAAAACTGGACCACCATCCTTAAATATCTCAGGGGTCAGTCTATCAGGACCTGCAGCTAGCCCTCGCTTCAGATTTCCTAACGCTTTTTCAATTTCATTAAGACTAGGGGGACTTACGTCGATTTGCCATTCAGGATGACTGGAGATCGTGGGTAACCGAAGAGTGGCTCGAGGCCAGTTGAACTGATCCCTTAAGTGTTCTGCCCATCGATCCAGTCTCCTGGATTGAGAATAAATAATAGTCCCATCATTTCCCGAGATAGTCTCACTTACACTAGGATTCCTAATACCAGTTTCCTTGATGAGTCTAGATAGTTGCCTACTGTTTCCGATCGCCGCTGCCTTTTCCATCGCTTTTGCTTTCGCCACCCACCACTGTTCGCGATCGTTACGTAGGCTTTTTATAAGTCTGCGCCTAAGTTGACTTCGTAGCAGCATACATCGATGGAACGAGATTCTAAAGTCCTAGCTAATGATGCCTGTTGCCCTATTTGACACAATGTCCGTACATTAAATGCTCCAACATGTAGTCTAGAGCGGGGTTTAAGGAGACCAAGAACGACGTTTCGCGAACTCGTGTCATCTGCATTAGCTGGGCAGTATGATAAATGAATGTGAGAAGAGTTAGTCGTGGAGATAAGAGAGGTACTAGGAGGTGTAGGAAGGATTTGATTTTGACCAATTTGGTCTCGCGTGCTGTTACGGGTATGAGGGCGGTTGTCACTTCCCGGCTGCCCACACTGTGGAAGGTTGTTTCTTGAGGAACCTGAAAAGGAAAATAGATTAGTGTTGGTCTTAGAGACCTGGGTGCGTGACGGCAGAGCCCAAGAGGAAACTGCTTGAGGCCGGTCACGCTCGGCCTTTTTATGAAACGTTTTTAGAGAATTAGCTCCGTTCTTAAAGGCCCTTAGTGGGCACGCTTACCCATGGAGACGGAAATCCGTGAGTTAGGGGAGGTGTGACATTTTTAGGTCCGACTTTTTCTAACCCTTCCTTCCTTGTGAGAAGGCAGCATCGCTGCAGATGCTGGTTGTCCAAGGGAAACACCTTACCGCTGTCACACCCCTCTGCAGTCAGCAGTACGACTTCGCCCTCAGACCTTGGGTAGCTGCTTTTAGTCTCATCGTTCTCCAATCGACCAGCCTGGCATGGTAGGACCTGCAGGAACATATGTTCCAGCCAGTATAGCTCGGTTGGTTCATCACGATAGGCAAGCCCGTCCACCACGTCAAGGTAGCAGCTACGGTCGGGTAAGCAAACAGACAAAAATAGAAATCGTAAAATCGAAACAAAACAAAGCGAAGAAGGCCAGTGAATCAACTCAATATGATAGGACCCGACTAAGTATTTATAGTCAGACGGAAATAAGCTAGATATGTGAAGCAAACAATGCATATACAAACAAAAACAACCAAGATTATGAACAAATAATTAACAAACTTAGAAGATGTACAAATAATAACCCGATAAGAATGGATTAATTGGTTTGTCCACATGGGCTCGACACATCAGTACACACTACAAGTTAGCTCAATAGAAATATATTAACGCACATTAGAGATTCTTCTTCTGCATTTTGAACAAAAACTACACATTTGACTAATCAACTACAGTTTATCAGGTAGTATGTATAAAGGTCTCTTACACGTTTTCAAGTCACAATAAAAATTTAGGTCAGAATGTAATCGTTTACAGTTGAAACTTGAGAGAAAATATTCCGCTAGCAATAGTTATTCAATTTAACTGGTAGTTTTAGTGAATTATTTTTGTCTGGTTCAATGATACAACTGAAGTTGCGGAAGAATAACCGTGTTAGGTAAAGATAGCAATTCATTATGAAGAAGCGATCTCCAATAACTATGTAACATGCACTGACTTCCTAAACTATCTCAGAGTCAATGAGCACTCGTACAAGTGCAGAGTTTGTAATGCTTTGTGGATAGAACCATGTCAGCCATCCAGTGTATCCTGTAAATATTAAGACATTACTGGACATTTGATTAATTCAATAAATTATTGACTCAACCGAAAAAGCAGCATATAACGAAAGAGTATCAGGTTGAATCGACTTACCTTTTCAGGCTTTGAGCTCTTTTCTGGAGAAACCATACAGAATCCGATGTCTTCATCCTGATAGTCATTATTCAAATCTGTATTTTTGAAAGTAGTTACGGCACTAGGTCGTGAGGACGATCGAAAATGTTCCTTTATTTCCAAATCACGGCGGGATGATGTAATTGGTTTAGTTAGTATGGGAACGTGTTGACTACAGTCAGATTCTTTTGTCATTTCTTCGCGCGTTTTGAGACTTAACTGACCGTGCAAAGGTGTTAAGATTTTTTTCGATGACTTTTGCTTGAGTCGAGCAGTCGACGGTTCATCATTTACTTTTGGTTTTAGCGTGGAAAAAGATAATCGCAGAGCGGGAGATGAAAGTGTGGATGTTGAAGACAAGGAGGAAGATGACAACTGAGACGATGATGATGACACGGTAGAGGATGAAGAAGAAAGAGAAGACAAATCCGATTCCGCGTCAGATAAGGATGAAGGTGGAGATAGGGAACACACTGGAAGTTGTTTGTCTTCATTTGGAACAGGTATTCTATCCGTTCGGATAGGGGAACTTATTGGCACTGTCAGAAGACTATGTTTATTTTTAGCTGGGAGCCCATAGGTGTTTCTTGCAGATAAGACTAACCGTGTGGAAGAACAATCATCAGAATTTTCGGTGAAAGATTTGACACTCGCTGAAGGCAAAGAAGACTTTATTGACTTATGAGTCTTAGGTGGACGCCCACGTGATTTCTTTGAAAAATCAGAGTATGTTGAGGAGGCCGAAAAAGCTGATGAATCAGGAGGGGTATGACCACCAGAGGCAAGAGCGGGAACAGTTGTACGATCAGATGAAGGACCAGATGCTGCAGAGGATGAGGAGGACATACTGTATACAGGTTCTGTGCGCACGACATGACTGTCAACACACGTTAATCTAGGGAGAGACGGGTTTGCTTCCTTTACACAAAGAGGAATGTCGTTGCTTTCACTTCTAAAAGGCAACGGTTTTATGCGTATAGTTCTCTGTGTTTTCGCGGTAAACGATGCTGCTGAAAGCTCGGATGAACTGGAATCACAGCTAGGAGGGACAGCTGACACGCCATTAGAGAAACTGGGTCTTGGAAGCGTTTCATTACACCGCTTTCTTTTGTGTGATTTTCTTTTTGGCGGAGTAGGTAAGAGAGGTATTGATAGTTTCATAGATGATTTATTTACACTTAGATTCTCAGAAGCAGGTTCTGAGATGCGGAGTTTGGTTTCTGGATCATCACTGTCACTATTCAATGATGATAAGGAGGTTAAGTTATCTAAAAAAGTAAACGATCAGAGTGTCAATGTGATTATCCTGATAAAATTTATAAATAACTTCTATAATCGAACGAGCTAGTAGTTTACCATTTAGTTATGCGACTATGTGATGAAAAAATTAAAGTATATGCATTTAAACATATCACACCGTTTATAACAATGAACTTCATGAACATTTTTTCCTGGGAATCTAGATTTCAGAGATACAAGCAGTTCAGACCCCTTACTTCAAAACAAGCTACTACGAAATAACTCCGTGTTTAAAAGTAGCGTCGAGAACGCATGCATCAGCATATAACTCTCAGTTTTGCAGAAGTATTACACAGTATATAAATTGTGCTTACAATATAAAAAAGTCAATCTTATTATTTTTAACAAAGTGGACTACACAAACGACGTATAACCTGCATGAGTTGTGAATTGGTCCAGGTTGCCACAATACAAAAAACGAAAATCTAGAAAAAATAGCTATACCAATAGTTATGATTACCAAAACGAAAGCAAAAACCAGTAACAAGATGAATCAATACGATGGCCGAAAATAAAAGCTACAGAATGAATCTATCTTTATTATTATCGTTCTATAAAAGCTAAGCTTTTGATCAATCGAAGCAACTGAGAATATCATCAATATAACATAACAACTGTAAGGAAAGAGAAACATCAAGCTATTAATGGATCGATACATACTTTAACACTTGTTTACTGTTTGTGAAACATTTGAGTACACGAAACGTTATTTCTGGTCTCCTGAAACCCAGCTCTAAACTACATGTTCGAGCTTCTAGTGTTCGAACCATTTGCCAAATAGTACAAGTGTGTACTATTTAGGATAAGAAGAAACCTAGTGTTTCGCAATTAAATCAGACTGGTGAGTACAATGTTGAGGATGAGAGACCCCACATGTTGGACCTTTCAATGTTCGAACCTTGTGTCAAATAGGACAACAGGCTTCCTTAGTTGACTCTGGAATCTTGCGTCATCGATGTATGCTGCGTCTCTGATACGCGCATACAGGATCCGAGTACAGAGATTTATTTGACCTCACTACGTCAACATAAAGAACCATATCGATTTACGCTTCGTGTCTGGTGTAGGCATGGCACTAAGTCCTAAAACAGAAACACAGTAAGGACTCGGAAACACAGGGACACTTGCCGTTGCCTCTTAGTTGTCTCTGCCTACGCTCCCATTGATCGCAGCTCAGATGAGGTGAAAGATGAATTTTATAGAGAACCTTCGGACCTCCTGTAAAACGTTAGCTCTCATGTAGTAATAATGGCTGGTCACTTCAATGCTCGAGTAGACAGATTAAGCGAAAAGGAAAGATAGTCGAGTGAGTCTTCTGGTGTCACGACTCAAAGGACAGATGACGGCGACCGTCTGTTGTAGCTATGCTCAAATAACCACCTATTTCTAGCAAACTCCAACTCCAAGCATAAGGATAAACATCTTTTAACATGACGATCGCCGAAATCAACTCATCACTGGACCCAATCAGGCCACATCCCTACCAGCTACCGATAGAGAGCCCCGATAGAAGACAGCCGCTCGTTCTGGAACACATGTATAGATTCAGATGATGTCATAGTACGAGCACGTATTTGTCAGCGTCTTACTGGACGTAGGAAAGACAGTAAAGAAACCCCTTGGCTTCTACTTAACGATAACAAAGCCATAAGCATATTTCAGGAGCAACTAGAAAAGCATTTAGGCAGCTTTGTACGTAATGCCCACCCGCAGGCAGCTCGGAATGATTTCCTAAAAGCTGTGGAAACAGCAGTGTTACCTGCTACTAAAGTAAACGAAGATTAGGCAGCAGTAGATTTCAGTAGCATCTACTGAACTGATATATATCCGAAACTCATCCAATCTCCCTCAGAAACATGATGAGTGTGGAGTTAACTTAAGTGCAGGCTGATAAGAGGCCTACGTAATGATCGCAAACAATGGTGGGTGGCGAAAGAAAGATGGAAAATGCAGCGGCAATAAGTAACAGTAGACAACTGTTCAGACTTATCAATCAAACTGGTGTAATAAATCCGACTGTTAGTGCGACTATCTAGGGGAAAAATGGGACTATTATTCATTCCCAACCCAGGAGGGCGGATCGATGGGCAGAACACTTTAGAGAGCAGTTCAATTGGCCTTCAGCCACACTACCATGGCTGACCATCTCCAGTCAACCAGAATTGTGAGTTGATGTGAGTCCTCCAACTCTTAATGAGGTTGACAAGGCTATAGGAAATCTAGGGCGAGGTAGAGCAGTAGAATCTGATAGGTTTACCCCTGAGATAATTAAGGATGGTGTTCCAGTTTCAGCAGTTGAGATTGGGACTGAGGTCATAGCAAGAATCTGGAAACTGGACGTAATCCCATCTCACTGGTTAATCACTGATTTTCCCGGTCTATAAGAAAGAACAAAAGCCCTCTTGTGACAATCACAGAGAAATTAGTTTAACATAGTACCTAGAATATTAGCAGACTCGAGAAAAGAAGGCTGGTTTCAGACCTGGATATGGATTTATGGACCAGATATTCGCTATTCATCAGTCCGGGAACATACATATTTCGGTGTCCCACAATAGTTGTATTCCTTGACCTTAAGGTGACATTTGATTCTGTTGATCGTGAGGTTTTATGGCAGTGTCTATCATTGAGATGTGCGCCGAAAAAGTACATTAACCTTAAACAGGCTCTCTACTGGCTACTACTGGTTGAGTCACAGCTTAAGGCGAACTGTAATCCGAATCGATGACCTCGAGTCTATTGACTAATTTAGTCTCGTCAGTATCTTCTGGAAAGTGGTGACTAATGAAGATTGCATAAAGAAGACGGTGTGCACGATTTGGGTACGATGACTACGGACACAGACCGGGTGCCATAACTCGAAACGTGTTTCCATACACAGACATTCAAGGATAACAACCAAGATTCCGAAATCGGGAAATTCCGATTTCTAGACACGAGCTAATATGAATTGACCATATTGAATGTAACCACAAGTGACAATAATGATCGAGAAAATACATAACCAGTCTCCTTAAGAAACTAACTATAGGTAAAACAATCTTAAAATCAGATTCATTTATTTAGATCTGATCTAAAATTCGTACTTTCAAGGAAATCATAATGTTTGCTTTTTCTGCGGCTCACTATATACTAGAACACAATCTAAAAGTCCTGAATAATTAAAGCGATTTGATTTCAGTTTATACGAGCGAGTCTTGAAGAATGTTTCATAGTCTCAGAAATCTTGGGATAAATATTTTAAGAACGCAATAGCTACATAGAAAAAAATAATTTACGGAAACTACCTGTAAACCTAATGAGTGTTTGACGGACTACACATCTCAAAAATGACAAGTTTTTATGAATGATCAAATAGGGTTTGGTTTTGCTATTTAAACAACTTGTTTGGTGAGCTGACCAGTCAGTTACAACTTGGGACTTCGTACGTTCGTACATCAGTTCAAGTTGCCATACCACATTAGAACAGTGACGCAATCGTTAATTCAAATCCCACAGTAGTAGAGGTAGTAGGAGTATTGGCAGTAATCAAAGTGATTAGTGATTGAATATATCATTCGAGATGTATACCCCAGAGGAATCAGTTAAAAAAGAGAGCTGATGAAGGAAAAACTGTTAGAGACTCTACTTTCTTAAAGATATTTTTGAATATGTTAGATTCAACTGAAAAATATGTAGCTTCGTTTTCAATAACTCTCAAAAGAGACCGATAGCAACCAGTTGAACCTTGAGATGAAGTCAATCAGGAAGGTTTTATATGTAAAATCTAAAGTTCTGGACAAACGGGAATAAGTGCAATGATTATAAAGTGCTTTCGACTGGCATTAAAAATAATAGGGGTACATATGTTACAAATAGTGTTTGTGACCACTCTTACCTTCAGTAACATTCTTCAAAGTATCTGACCAATGTGAGTCACGTCGGGACGTAGAATGTAGTGATGCAGGATACCACATAGGTGAATTAGTCCCAGTGGATTTACGGGATTTGAAAGCTTGCATTTCAGGTGATACGTTGAAGCTCTTATTGTGAGGTCTGGTAGACAATGGACGCTTACCAGGTCTTTTCTTTCTTAAAAGGGGAGAAGTAGAATTTTTCGAGAATGTCTTATTGGATATAGGTTCATTGGTTAGATTATTTATTATTGGATCAATCGAAATAGGTTCATTTAGCATGTTATTTGGTAACTGATCAGAATAATTCTTCATTTGTCGATCAAAACTTGCTTGGTTTGTTTTATACTCTTCAGCTTCATTCAGTGCTTTTTTCAAAGGTGGTGTTTCCCGTAAGCCAAGTTCATCTGCCGTAAAATTCATATCGAATGCTCTCGCTAGCGGAACGAAAACTCTCTCATGTCGCCCACCGAAGCAAACTACCTCGTAGCCCTCTGTACTCTCATATAACATTTTGCAAGGGCGAAAAGACCAGCCATTGTGTTGGAACCAAAGGAGACGATGAGCAACTCGACAAGGCGCTGTTAATTTATTTGCTGATGCTGAATGAAGACGCAAGTAACAATCTACACAGAAAGAAGATTCTCGCAGTTCTCGTTCCAGCTGAGAACGTATCTGTCGAGCCATGTTGCTCATATCGTTTTTGGAACCATAAAAAATCGCGGTGTTGTGAATTAGTAAATCCACATCAACCAGAAGGGAAGTTCGATTAGGATAACAGTCTTTAGATGATGGATCTGCTCGCATACGTTCAGTCATTAGACGGGTATTAACTTGCCGGAATACGAGGTAGTTATTTCGTAAGGGTTCATTTAAGTACCCAACAACCTGCATAGTTTTCCAATTAACTTTGTTGCGGATTCGATCGAGAACAACCTGAAATATTTTATGCAACTCTGATGCGCCGATAGGATTTGATATACTAGATGCACGCGATAACCTCTGACATACAGGACATGGGCTGGCTGGTGGCAATCCACTCGACATATTTGAATTGGCTTCGGAACTACCAGCTTCACTAGGTATGATAGATGACAGCTGTGATGATAAAGCAACTGGTAGGCAATCTGGGTGGTATACTCTAAAACAAGTTGGACAAGATACAACATGACCCGGTCCGTGACATTCAAAGCAATACCTAAATTAGAGAAAGCAGAAACAGTATTAGTTGACTAAAAAAGAACGGTAGATTTGAAATAAATTATGTGGTGAGATGGAGAAATATACTGCTTATAGATTGACCCACAAGCTACTACTAGTTTTCAAAAAGACAACGAATGATCATTAAGGTTTTAACTGGAATTAGGGACTGGAGACGAAAGGGCGTAAAATTTCACAAATGAACACATTATTCCCAAATGCAAAACCAAACATTGAGTTGGCAGAAATCTACTTCAGAAAATGAATATAACAGAAGAAATAGTAGTAGCAAACCAAGAACAACTTCAACTTCATCATACCGATTGATGGAGTAATCCTTCGTGAGCAAACCGATCGTAGCTGCTACCTTGATGTGGTGGTCAGGCTGGCCTATCGTGATGACCTAACCGAGGATAATTGGCCCGAACATACGTCCTTTCAGGTCTTAACACGTCAAGCAGGTCGATTGGAGAACGGTAAGACTAAAAGCAGCAACTCAAGGTCTCACCCTGAAGTCGTACTGCTGACTATAGAGGAGTATGACAGCAGTAACGTGTTTCCCTCGGACAACCAGAAACTGCAGCGATGCTGCCTTCTCACAATAAAACCCTCTTAACTCCGTGACCAGACAATCTCATATTCCTTTATCGCCTGGCAGCAGTGATACAAACGATTTGAGTACACGAAACGTTATTTCTGGTCTCCTGAAACCCAGCTCTAAACTACATGTTCGAGCTTCTAGTGTTCGAACCATTTGCCAAATAGTACAAGTGTGTACTATTTAGGATAAGAAGAAACCTAGTGTTTCGCAATTAAATCAGACTGGTGAGTACAATGTTGAGGATGAGAGACCCCACATGTTGGACCTTTCAATGTTCGAACCTTGTGTCAAATAGGACAACAGGCTTCCTTAGTTGACTCTGGAATCTTGCGTCATCGATGTATGCTGCGTCTCTGATACGCGCATACAGGATCCGAGTACAGAGATTTATTTGACCTCACTACGTCAACATAAAGAACCATATCGATTTACGCTTCGTGTCTGGTGTAGGCATGGCACTAAGTCCTAAAACAGAAACACAGTAAGGACTCGGAAACACAGGGACACTTGCCGTTGCCTCTTAGTTGTCTCTGCCTACGCTCCCATTGATTGCAGCTAGGATGAGGTAACCTTGAGTGGTGTTTGTCAGTGTTGTCCACCTTCTCCAATCTTATTCAGCTGTTATTGACGTGCTTTTTCAGACGAGTTCCGTCATCTGACTTTTCAGAAGTTGACCTTCTTTTAGGAGACTCACTCGTTGACTTAGAATATGCCGATGATATAGTTCTGTTTGGTGAAGATGCTGACAAAATGCTGTCTTCTGACTACCTTAAGCAACAATGCAAGCATGTTTAGAATGTGATTCTCCCCGTCGAAATGCAAAATGCCGCTTCAAGATTTGCTAGCATAGGTACCAGAACTGGTGATATAAAGTAAAGTAGTCGAGCGTGTCAACCGCTTCACTTATCTGGGGAGTCTCATCAGTGCAGATGGGCTGGTGACTGACGAAATCTCAGCACGGATACAGGAGCCTCGACTGGCTTTTGCCAACTCGCGCCACTTATGGCGTAGATGAGGTATCCATCTGCTAACCAACGGACGAGTCTGCTACGCTGCAGTTTGTCCCGTCCTATTTTATGGCCGTGAAACACAGCTAGTAAGAGTAGTTATCCGATCACAGGTGTCTTCGAAGCATTGCTCGAATATCGTGGGACCACTGAGTAGGTAATGCTGTTGTTAGGAAAACGGTATTAGGTAAGGATGGCAGATCAATAGATGAAGTAGTGAAACTTCATCTGTTGATGTGGTTGGGACATGTGTTACGAATGCCCAACCATAGACTGCCTCGACGAGTGATGTTTTGTGGTGTTAAGGTAGACTGGAAGAAAGCTAGGGGCGACCAGAAGAATACGTGGCACAAATCTATGAAGTTACCGACAAGCGATGTGAGCCATGTTGTTAGGTGTAGAATACCTTGTTGGGTACCGAGAGACTGGTAACAGATGGTTAGAGACGCTGAATGTCATGGCTAAAAATCGTTTGTAATGGCGCAAATGCAAGCATACTGTGTGTTCTTTCACGACCTCATGAGCTCAGGACCTTTTCTCATCACCTTTCCAATTTATTGCACTTGATTATACTTCTTGAATAATTTCTTCAAACCCTAGTCTTTTCCATTACCGCTAATACTTCTTTTATCCCTACCACTGGAATTTGAACTGACGACTGCGTCTCTATAGTAATATACCCGACCGTAGCTGTTACTTTGAAGTGGTTGTTGGGCATGCCTATCACGATGAACCAACCGAGCTGTATGGGCTGGGACATATGTTCCTGTAGGTTCTATCGTGCCAGGCAAGCCAATCGTAAAACGATGAGACTAAACACAGCTACCCCAGGTCTGAGGGCGAAGTCGTACTGCTGACTGCAGAGGTGTGACAGTAGTAGTGTTTCCCTTGGACAACCAGCATCTGCAGCGATGATGCCTTCTCACGAGGAAGGAAGGACTAGAAAAGGTCGACCCTAAAAATGTCACACCACTTCACGGATTTTAGTCTCCGGTAGTAAGGGTTTTTAAACAAGAACGGAGCTAACACTAAATACTACCCATAAGGCCGTGAGCGACCGGCCTCAAGCAGTTGTCCTGTAGACTGCGGTCACGGTCTCAGGTCGTTAAGACCAAAACTAATCTACCTTACTTTCCAGATTTCTCAAGAAACCCCCTTACACGGTGTGGGCAGCCGGGAAGTGACAACCGCCCTCATACCCGTAACAGCACGCGAGACCAAATTAATAACAATCTCCTTTCTACACCCCCTAACATCCCCCTTATCTTTGGTTACTTCAAGTGGTGTCCGTCCGGGATGTCCACTCTCCTCATTCTTGTTCAACTTTGTTGTGGACATCCTTTTAGTGTTAACATTATCCTCGTCAGTTTTTCAGGGGTAGAACTTCCACCAGGGGGATCGCTTACTGACCTAGAATATGCCAATGGCATAGTCCTATTTGATGAAGACGATGACAAAATGCAGTCTTCTGACTACCCTCAGCAACAATACAAACATGTTCGGGATGCGATTTCTCCCTCAAAATGCAAAATGTTGCTTCCAGATAGGATTGCATCAATACCTGAACTAGTGATAGGGAGTTAAGTAGTCAAGCGTGAATTTTGAGAACAATCATAATTCGATACTTGTCTAAAAATGACTAACCTCAAAGTTTATGTCTTACCACAACAACGCGAAAACGTGAACTTGCTTTGTACTCACTTGACAGATAGCAAAATATTTCACATGCGTCATAATTGATGAAGGTTGCAGCATATCAAGTAAGTCTTTACTATTCATGTCATTTCCTGATACATTGAATAACTGCATCTTAATTTCCCAAAGTATGAAATTAGGTAAATGATACACAACCAGAAAACAAGTGAGACGTCCCATTCCTAGTATGCTTAGCTCGTCCCCGATCATAGACAACTAGTCATGCAATGATCCCACAAATTTAAAATTATCTAATCCTTTGGAAACGGACTGAGTAACCTAGCATTCACGTACATAACGCTGCGAAAACCACGTGACTGCAACCGAGTTCCTTGTCAATATACTCAGGACATTTACGTGCAAGACGAGATCATAGTCTGGATTTGCTGAAATAATCTTTCAGGAAATAGAAAGACGCGCAGGATGGCTAGCTTTTATCCTCAAAACTACTTATCGCTCGGAAGAAGTGACCCCCAGAGATATGACATAACGTTGCACTACATGGAAGTGACCTAATAATTTGCATTAAAATTATCATGTCCCCACAAAATTAAAAATCCAAAATAAAAACGCTGAATCGTAGCTAAAATTCAAAAGCTAAACATACCAATCATGTTTATCCTTCACTTTAGGCATTGGATCGCGTTTCACATAACAGCGTTGGTTACACTCTATGCAACCATCGCTTATGGCGTTTGAAAGTTCACTTTGAAGTTTCCCTGCAGTGCATTTAGAATCACATTCTCTTTGGATAAATGATAACAACTCGTGAAAAGAGGACTCAATGGAATCCCTTGAGCATGCTTCAATTGCATTCCACACAAACTGGAGATATACGGGATCAGTACATCTCCTGACTGACATTGTGAATTCAAATAAAACAAATCATAGGCCTGTTACAAGACTTTTATGTGAGGAAAAGCTGTTGGAGAGTAATCAGACAAGGATATCCCGGCGCTACTTTGGAAACTAAAAGGACACTTATTCAAGAGCCCGCTCTAGGTACACAGCCATGAAATCAAACAAATCATTCCTATCGCCAATTGTCTGCAAATAGAAATCACCTACAGGGCTTCACTGATGATTCATCTCTGACAAAGGGGAGGTAATTATATGTATGGAGAGAGACTGAAGTTTTTGGATTAATTTCTCATTCACAAACAATTGATGAGGGTTAATTATCATGATTTCACGATAGAGTGCATTCAGAGTATGTTACAGAGGTAGGGTCTGACCTGAAGTTATTTCATCGTTGAAAACGCCATGTAATTACATCTTTTCCATGCATTTCATGGCCTTCAAACTTGTCACAAGGTATTTACTTTTCCACATTGAATCAGCTGAATATTACCAATCACGTTTGCCTCTGTCATAGACATCAAATAACTTGGGGCCCTAAATATAAATCACCAAAATAAGTTTTGACCTGGTTGATGAGCTCACTAATTTCATTGAACGCACCCTAACAGAATGCACTCAGTCAGGCATCTGTACCAGATAACCGTAGGATACTCCTTGCAACGTGTACCCTAACATCAACATTATCTGTGACGTCATCAATGTTTAGTCAGTCTAATGCCATTCAAGGATATAGTTACAAAATTCCTGCTTCAAACTACGGATCGTTTAATTTCGAAGAGGTTATCCAACATCTTTCAGGTCAGTTCTGAATCTGATTCGTCCGCGCACAATCTGAAGTCCCGTCAAATGATCGGTAATACATCACGAGCCGACAACTAGGTTTCCACCATGTAATCCACTTATTTATTCTTACCAGTACATGTGGTTGTCCAAGTAACATTATCATTTGTAGCCAGTCAACTCTGCCTGGCACCCCTCTTGGTTTACAGCTGGTCCACAGACCGGATAGAAGTAGAAGGTTCTACATCTAGATAATCAACTCGCTGAGAACACTGTAACCACAAAAAATAGTTCTAACAATTTAAACTCTTTCCTGGCAGATGCAAGGTCTTCGTTTATAATAGTTATCATTCCTAATGTTAAAAGCTAAGTTTCTTCGGAAGTCACAAGGCCGATATCACTTTTCACAGCCAGATCTGTAATTAATATAGGTACATGGAATGTTCTCACAGTACGAGAGGCCGGAGGAACCATTCAAGCTGAAGAAAAACAGAATGGAAACAATCTGATGGTACTTGGAATCACCGAGACACATTCAACGCATGTTGGACCATCTTCAGGAGGATTATTGTTCTCCGGACGTGAAGAAAACGACTCACACATAGAAGAGTTTGCACTGGCGATAAACAAAGAAACTTGAAAGTAGTCACTGAATGGGAATTTCATGGACTCAGGGTCAAACCATCAAAGCATCCTTCAAGAAAAGAAATATGGGATTACAATGAATGCACCCAACAACGAAAACAATCAAGACGTTAAAGACCAAATCCTATGAGATGATCCAGTCAGTCGTAGGAAATGCATCGCAAATGGTTTGACCATTCTGAAGAGAGACCTAAACACCATGATTGAAATGGACAATATCAAGTACGAACACATCAAGGGACAACACGGACTGGGAGAAAGGAACAAAAATGGTGAGAAATCTGCCTGTCGATGCGCCTTTTACGAGACGGTTATAGGCGACACCGTATTCCCACACAAACACACACTTAAGGCAAAATGAGTTTCAACGGACCACACTATATAGAACCAAATCAACAAAATATATACCAACAAAAAGTTCGGAAGGACCACGGAGCATTTATTAAGCGATTGAGGAGCTGAAATAGACCATTACTTTGTAGGATCCAAGATAAAAGTGAAACTAATAAAGCAATGGACAAGTGGTCGAACAGCATCACAAAAGTTTAATGTAGCCTTTGTTCCGTTCACTGGCAAACTCAACAAATGCAAGACAGTTCCCTACAATAAGTTCCGAGACTGCATGATCTAATCAACGGAGAGGAAACTCCAGTTGAGAGCAACAGGAAAGTCATCAAAGAGACAATAACTTCAAAATGATGTGAGATTTTCGGCCACAGAAAGCACCATCAGAATTAACGGATTGCTGTTGATTTTCTGGATAGTATTCAAGAAAGTAGGAACAAAAAGGCATCAAACAATAGCAGAGGAACCCAATGCAGGAACTGAATACATCGAATCAAATACGCAGCCAAAGAGGAGAATCTTCTTTCCAGGTTACAGGCACGATCTGCGAGGGCTAACATTTGTGTGGAATCTTACATTGATTATATTTAACCACATATCTCGTTTTCACCTCGATAAGAGGCCTAGGTCAGGTGGTTGTTTTTAACAAAGAACCTCTCATTAGGATTTTAAAAACCCGTAGTTTAGGTAAGTCTTTATCTCCTTATTTTTTCTAGGCTCTAGATTTTCGATTATTTTTTAATGAATGTTTAAAGGTTTGTGTGCTTGAAATACGAATCTCGCTCTCCACATATTCACTTTCTTGTTAATAAACCTGGTGCAACCACCAAGTCTTTTGTATGTCACCTTAACAAGGAGTATAAATGGGTTCAAGAATCCAACCCTCTATCCATGATGCTTCACCTCATACATTTTATTACATTTTACTGGGATTCAATGATCAACGCCATATTTCGAGGGAACTCCCGTTTCGACTGGAATATTTGTTGGTATAGCGATTCTTGTTTGGTTTGAAGATACTTTGGGTGGTAGGGGAATGTGCTCGAAAAAGACCTGAACCCGTGAAAATGTGAACCGTCGAGTCTAAGGGAAAAGAAATGTGCTTGCACTTATTAGTTAGAGCAATGGATTTCTATCATCGACGCCGTGAGACTAAGACAACTCAACAACTGCAACTAGAAGTGCTGTTCACCGAGTGCTTATGGTGATGGTTGCTAAAATGGAAGGCAAATGAATAAATTTCACTTTACTGAACATACTTTTCATGAATCATCAATGAAAGATATGCTCCTTTTGAACGCGATTTATCCGTTTAAAAAGCTTCTTTTTGAACTTATCTGATGGAATACTTGTAACTAGGTTATTCCATTCGTTGTCTACTCCATGCAGATGTCGATTAGCTCGTCATTAACAAGTGCATAGTTCAAAGAAAGAAGTAGATGAAGTAAAAACTTTCAAGCCGTGTTAAAATTATAATTGTTTGATACTCTGATCTTTAATTGGATAAATCCACTTATTTATTTCTCTCTTCAATCCCTTCACTTTTCAGTCGGTGTTGAGCGAACTTACAATATATCGAGCATTTACTCACTTAGTCCTTACTTCTAGGGCAGCACAAACTACCCTATTTTCTGTGATCAGTTTTCCATTTGAATATGCCACGAATAGGCATTGCTAGACGATGTTAGGATACAAGACTTCTTCCTATTCGGGGATCTGAAAGCTGACCAAACTAGAATTCACCCATAAATTGATACAAATAATGGCCGGTCATTTAAAGCGAGTGCATTTGAAGGTGAACAGATGGCATACAAACTGCTAAGCATGGTATACCTGAACATGAACTAGTTGCAGTTTTCAAATTAAAGATTTTTAAGCTGCAAAATACTTTACTCAAGGATGTCTATCTATGGTCAATAGCCAATACATTTTCAGTACGGTTAAGTCGTTCATACCTTTTTCTAGTCTCTTATAATAACAGAACTCAATTTTGTACTGTGAGAGAGAGATCATATTACCTGTGGGGGCCAAGCTGATAACAGAGGCCAGTTCTACTGATCGTAGAAAACATCGCAACTCGCTCCTAGAAGTCAACCCATACATATTTATTTTACTGGTATATACCCGTTAACTAATGAACATCAAGCATCAGGGAAAATGTAAAAATATATTTTATGGAGAATAAACACAAATATGACGCGTAACAATAAACGAAGGTTGCACTAAATAGATGCAAATATACTGTGCTCAACAAATACTGAGCTGAAGTGAAAGCTCTATTCTATCGGAAAATTATTGAATGAACCGAAAATCCGTGTAGTACTGAGGAACACCCATGCCGAGTTAAAACTTGACCGAGCGTTATCATTTCATCTTCAAAGAAACCAGTTTGTCCATGGTTAACAAGTTCTGGGCTCTTGATATGTTATTAAATTAATGTCAAGCATCTAACCAATTATTGGTGTTTCAGAAAGAATGCAGTAACTATATTGGTAGACTTGTGTATCTTCGAATGCTTGAAAGGTTAAACGTTGCTCCATGGCTGAGTTAGTATCAACGGACAAATAAACATCAGGGAATAATTTTAAGTGGTATCAGTTCTAGACCAGTCTTATAAGGTCCATAAATACACTCTCCAGCATGAAAATAATAACGGAATCAATTTTCACTGCTTAGATATTCAGCGGATGAATTACCAGTGTAAGTGGTTTGTGCGAGTAGGTGGACGGAAATGGTTTTACTTTCTAACTTATTTAGAACTCAAACCTAGCAGTTGCTAACTAATTTGGTTTGCTTTATCATGAGAGCCAAAGGAATTCTTCGGCTTAATGGCTTACTTTTCGTTACTTTCTGTCACCCCTAATGGAGCATACAAAAGCCTCCAGTCAACTAACCTTGGCCACCCTTTCCATATCAACATAACTGCGTTGTATTTTTTCATGTCCGCTGCTGGTTCTCGGAGTAATGCGTTTTAGGGTCTTCATTTTTCCGTTGGTATGGATGATCCCGATCGGAGACTTGCCTTGTGACGCTTGATATTGTATTAATTGAATGAATGTTATTTATTGGAGTCGATGGGTAACATCATTTGTCTAAATTCACATCAAATAATGACCATACGCTTCATGGTTTAGGCGCCTTGTGGTGTGAGCTACTTGTAAGTTGTATATGACGTGAGTGTCAACATAATGTCTGGCAGCAGAATATGGGGGAAGATCAAGAAAGGAAGAGTTAGAAAACAATGGAATTTGTATGAAACGCATGAATAGTGACAATGGATTGATGTTTTGCAACAGGAACAGTCCAGTTCGATATGATGAACTGTTATTTTGCAAATTAACGATTTGCGATATGGTTTTCCAATTTTAGTG